GGAATGTGGAATACAGCATAGGGAATAAAGTCAGTGGAATTGTAACAGCTATATATGATGTCAGATGGGTAGTAGATTGGGGAAGAGGGGTTATCACTTTGTGAGGGGTGTAAATGTCTAACTATTACATTATTTTGTACACCTGAAACTAATAAAAAAAATGTAAAGGTGTATGTTTCATTGCTGCAGTATAGGAAAATGTTCAGATAGAAACTTTTGGGCCACAGTGAGTAAGGGAGGAAAATATGAGCAAGGGCCGAATGCATTCTTTGTTGGTTGTTTTTTGTTTTTAAGGAGGGAACAGATTCATTGAAGATATAGAAATGATGATTGGAGCAAAAAGGTGGATATTCTGGCTATGGTGGAGATCTTGCTGGTTTGCCATTACGCCTATCCTTTTGATTGTAAGTATTAATATGTCATGAATTTGGTATCAATAATATATATTTAAACATTTCTAAGATAAACTTGAAGAATAACTCACATTTGAAACAATAAGACAAATTAATGTCGTAAATTAATGATTTCCACCTTCTGCTTTATGACTGGTACTTCCAAGTTGCCTAAATTAAAATGCCTTTGCAGTATTATTTTTGAGGCCATAGGTTTAAGTATTTACCATTTGAGAAAATAAATAGGCTCCTATAGATTTAAAAGTCCTAAATACTTAAATGTTACCAGTAAGAAAAATAAAAATAAATCATTCATTTGTTCATTCCCTAAAAAATATACTGAGCCATATGCAATCTGCTAGGTACAAAAAATGAAAATATGTATTAGACCCATACTCTGCTTTCAAGGAATTCAATTTAAATATACTAATTGCTAAAAATCAGTACTCAGATTTTAATGCATGTCTTTTCTCTTTATGGGAGGTACTTAGTGTATGAAATTATTAAAATAAACTCACCTATGCCAATAGAGCCAATAGTTTATGTTAATAAATTCAACTATTTAGGAGCTGATGGAAAGCAAAACATAGCGTAACATATAAACATGCTATGTTAAAATAACAGCTCAGGACAGCAAATGGCTGGATGCCAAATTAAACGTTTAAGAGGATGGAGAATTACTATCTATCAGAGATAAGGGTGGGGTGTGGCAGTAGCAAAGCTACATAGAGGAAGTGATATGGTTCTCATTGTCCCTATGCTTCAAAGGTTTTCCTATTAAAGGTCATTAGATAATTTGACCTAGAATTTGCTTCACATCTGAAGTAACAAGTTTGTTTTTACGGCGTGTTGTTTTATATTTTTAACATGATAACATCAGTTTCCAGTTATGAACAAACAGTTTGGGACTGGATATGCTGAATTAAAATATTTGAAAGTCCTGTATTCTTGTTAAAGTGTCATATCTTCTTGGATTGATCACTTTATCATTATATAATATTCTTCTTTGTCTCTTATTATAGCCTTCGTTTTAAAGTCTATGTTGTCTGATATAAGTATTGCTACTTCAACTTTTAAAGTCATTTTGTCTGACATAAGTATGATCACTTCAGCTTTCTTTTCATTTCCATTTGCATGCAATGTTTTTCCATCCCTTTATTTTCAGTCTGCACTGTGTCTTTACATCTGAGGTGGGTCACTTGAAGACAGAATATACATGGGTCTTGTTTCCTTTTCTTTTCTTTTTTTTAACTTGGGAATTGGGGGAGGGAAACAGTGTTGGAGAATTGGGGAAGGAGAACATCCAAGTTGTTTGTCCTTCAATCTTAGTTGTGGGGGGCACAGCTAGCTCAGCTCCAAGTCCAGTCGCAATCCAGCCACCAGAGCTGCTGCCAGCTCAAGGTGCTGTGTTCTTAGTTGTGGGTGGGCATAGCCATCATCCCATGTGGGATTTTAACCAGCAGCCTCGTTGTTCAGAGTGCATGCTCTATCCGCTGAGCCATTTGGGTGGCAGCTCAGCTCAAGTTGCCGAGTTCAGTCTTTTAGTTGTGGGCGGGCGTAGCCCACCAGCTGAACAGGCAACCTTGTTGTTAGAAACATGTGCTCTCACCACCTGAGCCATCCTGCCACCTGTTGGCAGCTCAGCAGCAGCTCAGGTGCAGCTCACTGGCCCATGTGGGAATTGAACCGGCATCCCTGCTGCTCAGAGCTTGCACTCTTGAGCAAGCTCTTAACCAACTGAGTCACTCGGCCGGCTGGGGTCTTGTTTTCTTCTCCATTCAGCTACCCTACGTCATTTAATGGGAGCCTTTAATCCATTTATATTTAAACTGATTGTTGATAGGTACATAGTTATTGCCATTTTATTATTCATATTTTTGATGATGTGTTTGTTTTTTCATTCTGCTTAAAGGGGTCTTTTTAAGATTTCTCGTAATGCTGGCTTTGTGGTAATGAACTCCTTTAGCTGTTTCTTTTCTGGGAAGTTCTTTATCCCTCCTTCAATTTTATTTTTTTTTTTCTATTTTATGTATTTTCACCTTGTTTTTATTTTATTTTATTTTTTTATTGTTAGTTTCAGGTGTACAGAACAATGCAATAGTTACCCTTTTCACCGTCACAAAGTAACAACCCCCCTCCCCCCATCTATTGCCCTCCCATCCCCAATATCATGTTTATCTATTACAATTCCATTGAATCCGTTCCCGCACTCTACTCCATGTCCCGAGGTTATATGTATATATAATTATAGTTGACATACAGTATTATTCAACATCAGTTTCAGAAATACAATGTGGTGGCCTCCTTCAATTTTAAATGATAGCCTTGATGGGTAGAGCAGTCTTGGTTGTAAACCCTCGTTATTCATCACTTTGATTATTTCCTACCACTACCTTAAGATCTGCAAAATTTCTGTGGAGAAATCAGCTACTAATCTTGTTTTTTTTTTTTTAGTTAAAGTGTATTGGGTTGACAATGGTTAGTAAAGCTACATAGGTTTCTAGTGGTTACCAGAGGCTAAGGGGTGAGGGGGTAGTAGATGAGGGTAAATGGGATCAAATATATGGTGATGAAAGGAGAACTGACTCTGGGTGGTGAACACACACTGTGATATATAGATGATGTATTACAGAATTGTACACTCAGCTTCTCGTCTTATGGAAGCTCCCTTGTAAATATCCAGTTGTCTTTCTCATGCTGCTTTTAGGGTTCTCTCTTTGTCTTTAAACTTTGCCATTTTAATTATGATGTGTCTTTGTGTGCAACTGTTTGGGTTCATTTTGTTTGGGACTCGCTGTACTTCCTGGACTTGTATGTCTATTTCCTTCATCAGGTTAGGGAAGTTTTCAGTCATTATTTCTTCAAGTAGGTTTTTAATCCCTTGCTCTGTTGCTTCTCCTTCAGGTACTCTGATGATGTGAATTTTGTTATCCTTGATGTTTTCCCAGAGGTCCTTCAAGCTATCTTCATTGTTTGTCATTCATTGTTTTTTGGGGTTTTTTTCTGTTTTCTGTTCTGATTGGATGTTTTCTGCTACTTTGTCTTCTTTTTTTTTTAAGATTTTATTAGGGAATTGGGGGATGGGAACAGTGCTGGGGAATTGGGGGAAGGGGAACAGACAAGTTGCTGTTGTTTTGTTCTTCAGTCTACTTGTGGAGGATGTTGCTTCACTGGCCCAAGTTGGCACCATCATTGCGCTCTTCCTGGGTGAGGCAGATCAGTCGCTGGCTTCTGCATGGCCGCTCACAGAAGCTGCTGGCCGCTCACGCTGGCTGCTGGCTACACACGGTAGCCCATGGCAACACACTGCAGCAGGGGCTGCAGCCCATGCCGTCATCAGTGACCCACTGCAGCCCAGCTCCAGGTTGAGCTGCCATTCAGCATCTTAGCTGTAGAGGGCAGTGTCACTAGCCCTCATATGTGGGATCCAAACCCAGGCATTCTGGCATACCAAGCCACTTCTTAACCAATGCGCCACTCGGCCGGCCCTACTTTGTCTTCTAAATCACTGATTCTGTTTGCTGCTTCATCTAATCTGCTGTTGATTTCTTCTACTGTATTCTTCATTTCAGTTATTGTATTCTTTATTTTCTATGGATTTTTTTATGGTTTCCATGTCCTCCTTTATGCTTACTATCTTTGTGTTTATATTCTGAGTTCCATAAACGTTCTTTCTTTTTTTTTTTAAAGATTTTTATTGGGGAATTGGGGGGATGGGAACAGTGCTGTGGAATTGGGGGAAGGGAAACAGACAAGTTGCTGTCCTTTTGTTCTTCAGTCTAGTTGTGGAGGACGTTGCTTCACTGGCCCAAGTTGGCACCATCANGCTCTGAGCAACAGCAGTTCGAGTCCAGCCCGAGCTGAGCAGCCGCTGAGCTGCCAACAGGTAGCAGGATGGCTCAGCTAAAAAAAAAAATAAAAAAATAAAAATAATAATTAAAAAAAATAAATAAATAAAATTTGTACTAGAATGCTTCCTTCCATATAAGTTTCCAACTACTTCAGCCCTCAGGGACCTGTTAACTTACAGTTGCTACCAGTGAAAAACCTTATTAAACAGACTAAAAATGACCAATCCAGCTTCATTTGAGATTTTTATTGGAATTGAAAAAGGGTGACTGCCAAGAGAAAGGACCCTATTGTTGGTTAAAAGCACGGAGTAGGGGTCAGACTATATTCTCAACATATATTTACATATTGCATAAATAGAAGTTGAATTCTGTGATTAAACTTATTGGCAAATGAGTTGACCTATAACATGCCATTTTATTTTCCCTTCTGAAGAAACAATTACAACAACGATTCAAGATTTATTTCCTAAAGTGATGAAGAGAATGAGGGTTCCCATAACTTTGGGTTGCTGCTTGGTTTTGTTTCTCCTTGGTCTCGTCTGTGTCACTCAGGTATATTTTAGTATTTTGCTGTAGACAAAATATTATTTTGAACATACTTTGTAATTTAAATGAAGAAACCAAGGTTTAAGAAGATGTTTAATGGCAAATCTAACTTGGATGAAGTTTTTCTGTTTAGCTCAGATTTTTTCCCCCATTATAGCACAATTTCAATAGTAAGTATATTTGACAGAGGGGGAGGAGGCCCAATAATGGACAATTTCCCCGATTACAAAAAAAATTATAGACTGTAAACATATACTTTATTTCTTGGCCACTACTACAGAACACAGAGACACTGCATATCACTTTGATAATCAACTATTCTAAGTGCTTACTTTTTCCCGAAGTGACTCAATACAGAATAAAAGATGCATCATTTTTGAGATATTTAAATCCACATTTGCATTCACATTTGAAAATATTCATTCTTGAATTTTTGGCAGAGGTGAAATCAAGGAGCATACATTAAAATATGGTTTATTTTAGTAGATTCAATTTGAATGCCTCATCAATCATAAATGTAATTAAAACTATACTTGGAAGTAATTGATTTTTTTTGGTAGGCTGGAATTTACTGGGTTAATCTGATTGACCACTTCTGTGCTGGATGGGGTATTTTGATTGCAGCTATCCTGGAAATAATAGGAATCATCTGGATTTATGGTAAATAGTGATTTACAATTATCTACATATTTTATTAAAATAGTTTAGTTTGATTTCTTTTCATTATGTGTACTATAATAGTAAAGTATAATCTAACTGGGCAAAAACATATTATGAATAAAGTGTAAAGGTGGAATGTAAAGAGCAGAATAAATGAGCAAATTAAACAGAAATAGTTTTAGAGATATAGAGAAAAAACTGATGACTGCTAGATGGGAGTGGGGTGGGGATGAGGGAGAAGGGTGAGTGGATTAGAAAGCACAAATTGGTAGCCACAATATTGCCACAGGGATACGAAAGACAGTTTGGGGAGTATAATCAATAATGTTGTAAAGGTTTTGTAGGGTGTCAAATGGGCACTTGTCTTATTAGGGAGACCACTTTATCGACGATGTAGATGCCTGACCACTGTGCTGTACACCTGAAGCTGAAGCTGAATAATATTGAATGTCAACTATAATCATATATATATATATATATATAT